AAGAAGGTCTGGCATATGTCTAATCAGAGTTCCAGAGGGAAAGAGAGATGGGGAGTGGGGACAGAGTCACTACACTGAAGCCATAGTTGAAGAGCAGAAAGGTGAGAATTTTCCAAAACTGCTGCAGGTACCAGTCCATAAACTCAGGAAGCTCAGAGTACTCCAAAAAGGATAAATAAAAAGAAATCTGTACTTTTACATGGGAGTAAAGCCATCAAATCTCAGAGGCAAAGCAAAAGTTTTAAAAAGCAGTTAGAACATCTGTCTGAAGAAGATATAGGAATGGATAATGAGTATATGAAAAGATGCTTAATATCATTAGTCATTAGAGAAATCAAAACCACAATGAGATATTACTTCATACCCACTGGAACGGCAATAATTAAAAAGACATACTAACAAGTGTTGGTGAGAGTATGAAGAAATTAGAACCCTCATATATTGCTAGTGGGAATATAAAATGGTACAGTCATTTTGGAAAACCTGTCATATGGCCTAGCAATTCCACACTTATATATATACCCAAGAGAAATAAAAATGTTATGTCCACACAGATTTGCATATGAATGTTCTTAGGAGCATTGTTCATAATAGCCAGAACATGGAAACAACCTGAGTGTCCCTCAGCTGATGAGTGGATAGACAAAATGTGGCATATTCATTCAGGGTAGTATTACTCAACAATAAAAAGGAATGAAGTACAGGTAGATACTACAACATGGATGAACCTTGAAACATTATGCTATGTGAGAGAAGCCAATCACAGAGTATGTATATTATAAGATTCCATTTATATAAAATTCCCAGAATAAACAGAAGGTAGATTATTAGTTGCCTAGGGCTGGGGGTAGAGGGTGGAGAATATGGAGAGTGACTTCTGCTGTACTCTTTAAGCAGTTGAATTGTGTGTCATATAAATTATATTTCAGTAAAGCTATTTAAAAAGGCAGCTAATGGAAAACAGTCCCATTACCTATAAAGGAATGAATTTGGAGTGATAGCTTGACTTCTTAATAGCTTCTGTTAGCCAGAAGATGGCTGAGAAAAATATCTCTTAGCCTAGAAGATTACTTTTAATACTGAGCAACAATATTTAAAAAAATGAAGTTGAGATAGTTTTAGACAAAAGTTGAGTTTGCCACCAACAAAGTCCTACTAAAAGAAATTTAAATGTTTCTTTTTAGGCAAAAGGAGATTCCTGACAATATCTGAGATTCAGGAATGAATAACAAACAAAGCTTGTGACAAATGTGGGGGTAAATCTAAACAAACATGGACTGTAAAAAAGTAATGATGAGCTAAAAACAAAACAGGGAAGAAATGAAATACATGACAATAATGTGTATGTCAAGGGGATGGTGGCTGAACTTGAAGTGTCTCAAGATCCTTCTATTATTCAGAAAGAATGTAAGCATAGATTGACTTTAGACTTAGGTAAATTGAAAATGTAAGCATGCTATACTTTCTAGGGTAGTAACCTAAAGATTAGAAATGAATGAAATAAACATAAAATAAATATAAATAAAGGTATAACTTTTAAATGAGTAGAGGCAAAAAAATAGAATAGGAAAAAAAGGCATTCAATAGGCAAGAAGGAAAAGAGAAAAATAGAAATGGCAGTATATTTAGAAAGCACAAGGGAAGATGGTTGAAATAGAATCACATATATCTGTAATGATAATAAATGCTCCATTTAATTTTATCAGACAGGATAAAAGAATCTAGGTATATGCTATTTACAAGAGACATCTACAATGTAAAGTTAATGATACATTGAAAGGGAAAAAAGACACACCAGCCAAATATTAACTGTGAGAAAGCTGTCATAGACTTTATGGCAAGGAAACCATTTTCAAGCCAATAAATATAGACTATTGCACTCAATAATTTTTGGATACAAATTCTTTTCTAGCACACAGTACACAAAGTACATTTATGATAACTGATCACATGCTCTGTCATAAAGCAAGACACCAATTTCAAATGATTAGTATCAAACAGGCCTTATTCTCTAGTCACAAAGCAAACAAGCAAGAAAAAACACAAAGATAGCTAGGAAACATCCATGTATTTGTAGAGTAAAAAGCATACTTCTAAATTATTTGTGAGTTGAGGAATAGATAATAATGGAAATCAGAAAATGTTTACGATGGGACGGTAATGTCAATACTACATATCAAACTAGTGGCATCAAGCTAAAATGATACTGACAGGGAAATTTATAGTCTTAAGACATATATATGGAAAGAAAAAAGAGTGAAAATTAGTGAGATAAGTATCCAAGTTACAAAGTTAGGAAAAGAAAATAGAATAAACCCAAAGAAAGTAGTAGGAAGGAGATAATTTAAAAAAATAAGAGCACAAATTAATGAAATAGAAAATAAGAATGTTTGGGACACCGGAAGAAAGTAGTAGGAAGGAGATAATTTTAAAAATAAGAGGACAAATTAATGAAATAGAAAATAAGAATGTTTGGGGCACCTGGATGGCTCAGTCTGTTAAGTGTCTGCTTTCGGCTTAGGTCATGATCCCAGGGTCCTGGGATCGAGCCCCACGTCAGGCTCCCTTTGCTCCTCCCCGCTGCTTGTGATCTCTCTCTCTCATGCTCTCTCTCTCTCAAATAAATAAAATCTTAAAAAATAAGAATGTCAGATGATCAACACAGCCAAAATTGGCTCTTTGAAGAGATTATTGAACATGAAATGCCTCTGTTGAGCCTCATCAAGGAAAAGAGAATAAAATTAAAGAATGTTAGGAATGAAATAGAAGACAGCCATAGATGCCATAGGTATTGAAAAATAAATGGGTTTTATGAAAATTTCCTGCTAAGTAAAGGTGAATATTTAGATAAAATGAAAAATTCTTAGGAGAAAAAACTTATCAAAATTGACTGAAATAATTAGAAACACGACTATTCCTATAACCATTAGATAGATGAAGTAAGTAACAGTCTTTGGAGAAAGAAAATGCCAGCTGTAGATGGTTTTACTGGTGATTTCTAATGAATGTTAATGGGAAGAAAATTTTAGTTTTACACAAACCATTTCGGAACACATTAAAAGAGTGAGCACTCCATTTAGAAGGCAAAATTGGTACTAAAACTTGACAAGGACAGCATCAAATGGGAAAATTACAAACCAGTCTTATCCATAAACATAGATGAAAGATCCTGACAAAATATTAGTAAGCTGAATCCAGTAACATATAAAAAATATAATACATCATGACTAAGTGGGGTTTTTCATAGTCGTTAAGGAGAGCTGAGCTTTTTAAAAATCCATTAATGTAATTCATTACAATAACATATTAAAGGTGAAAAGTGTGATAAATCATGAGAAGCAGAAAAAATGTTTATTAATATTAAACATTCCTTAATAATTAAAAAAAAACAACTCTTGGCAAAGTTGTAATAAAAGGGAACTTTCTGAAACTTAAGAGTTCCTATAAAAAGCTAAAGCAAACATCAAACTTAATGATGAAACATTGAAATTCTTCCCTTTAAGCCCAGGAACAAGATGAAGGAGCCAGTTTCTTTTAGGCCTCTGTCTTTCTGCATGGCCTCTCCATGTGGCTGATATGGGCTTCTTCACAGTATGATGGTCAGAAGGTGGTTGGACTTCTAACATGGTGGCCAGGTTCCAGCTGGAGGAGGCTAAATGTGCCCGTCCTCCTACAGACAAGGACCAGAACTGACACTTTGGCTGCATTTACTAGTTGAAATTAGTCACAGTTTAGCCCAGGTTCAAGAGGAGGGTAAATAGACTCCATCTCTAGTTTTGAGTACAGCGTGTGTGTACAAGCAGGAAAAACTTGGTGACAGGCATCTTTGGAGATCATCTATCACAACTATCAGGCTGGTAAAAATGTGGAAGTCTGGTGACATGAGATATTGGCAAAGATGTGGAGTGATTGGCATATTTACACACTGCTTGTGACCCTGAAAATGAGTATAACAGCACTGGTAAACATTTTGGTGTTACCTAGTAAAGTTAAAGATGTGCATACTATGTAGTCTGGCAATTTAACTCCTAGATCATTTTTGCTGTGTGTACCACGTGATAAATATAAGAATGTCCAGAATAGCACTTTTTGTTCTAGCAAAAAACCTGGAAACAAACCAAAATGTCTATTAATAGCAGAATGGGCAAATAAATTGTGGTGGAGTCTTACAGTGGAACTCTGTACTTCAGTGAAAATGAATAAATTGTATGTACAATAACATGATTTAATCTTAAGGACGTAAGATTGAGTAGAAAAAAGCAAAGTACAAAAAAAAAAACACAGAACAAATGAAGTTGAAATGCAAAAAGTATATGTAAAAACAAACAAGGAAATGACAAACACACAATTTAGGGTGGTAATTATTTCCGAAGTGGGGGAGGAGATAGAAATGATTGGGACATAGATAATTCTAATGACCTTTTTTTGGTGACTCGAATGATGGATGTTTCTTATATTATTTTTCCTTATACTTTGCATAATTGTATGTTCTTTTGTGTCTTCTCAGTATGTAATATAAACAAAAAACCTTTAATGCTTACTTTTTTTGGTTGGGGGTGAGGTTTCTCTTTTCGTCAAATGATTGCCTTGAATGATCATTTCCACTGTGGAGTAGCAGAGAAGGACCAGGGTATGACTTGGGTTAATTACCTTTATTAGCAACCTGTTGACCTTTCTTAGGATCATGGTGAATAGTCTATGTTGTTTCATGGATGGGGAGTAGGTCTGACTAGGAAGCCTTCATTCCATTGTGAACTTGGTTCTTGGTCGGGTGGAAGGTCAGTTTGCTGACCTTACCTGTTTTCTATACTCTTGGCCACCTTTACAGAGCCTCCCCAGACCCATAAGGACTTCCAAGGCCATCTTTTTAAGCAAACTCATGGCTTGCCTTGTTGGATTAATGATCATTGGCTATTGAAAATTAAGAGAAATCAGCAGTTCTCAAATGTAAAGAGTAGAAACTGTGGCTTCTAATTTCTTGCAATGTTGTTGTTTCACAGATTGATCAACTGAAGCAGGAGCTTTCAAAGAAGGAGTCAGAACTTCTTGCCTTACAAACAAAGCTTGAAACCCTTAGCAATCAAAATTCAGATTGCAAGCAACACATTGAAGTGCTTAAAGAGTCGCTTACTGCCAAAGAACAGAGGGCTGCCATCCTTCAGACCGAGGTAAGGCATTGTTTCACGATTACAGGCAACAGACGTTGAGTCGATAGAAAATATCCTACCTGGACAGCTTTCTTTAGAAGATCCCTTATCCAAACCCTTGGGGCCAGATGTGTTTTGGATATCAGATATTCCAGGGATTTTGGAAAGGTAAGACCCATATCACAGATTGCATAACACTCCCAGTGTGGATGCAGCAATACCCTGTAACAAATACATGACTATTTGTGCAGAAAAAAAATTCCTCACACTAAAGTAGGATAAATAAAGACTGTATAAGTAGCACCCTATTAGTTCATGTCAGGTTGTGCCACCAAAAGAGTTTGTTTCACACTGGAATTTTTTTTTCATTTTCAGAGTTTTTTAGATTTGGGAACCATAAATAAATGGTTGGATCTAGAATGGTATTATCAAAAATCATAAAAAAGTCGGAATGTCATCTACCTTACTTGCTGTGTATCTGTATAGGTCCCTCTCTGTGATTCCAGGGCTTTCTTACTTCCTAAAGAATATCCTCAATTTTCAAGATTCTTTTACCCATTGAAGAAAGTTGATATTGTGAGTTTCTTAAAAGAAATGTTGGTTTATTACTTCTTATTCATACTGAAAAGAAAACCAAATACACGTTACTATCCTATTTCCTTGCTTTTCCTCATTGGATTATATCTTTGAGTGTGCCAAGAAAGGCAAAACACAAACTAGTTATGTAAGTAAAACAGTTGCCAGAAAATAAATTATTGCATGTGGACAATAGCAAAGAATGTGGTGAATCTCCCTCATTTTTTGTTTTGAGGTAGTATGTTATGTGGGCTACTGTAGGAGAAAGCAGTCTAGTTGAGTTACATGTTTTCTCTTGTGCTCTTTAAGCCATGTCTTTGTATATGTTTTTGGGTCTGTGGGGAGGTTTAGATTTTCCTTGGAGTTAATGGGACCATTGAGTAGGCCTATGCCCTCAGTCAAGGTGCAGCAGAGTGTCCAGAGGTGAAAGGAAACAACTTCCAGATTGGATGGATCTTGGCATGAATGTGACTCAGCCCCTATGCACCTGACACTGCCTCATAGGCAGTTATTAGATCACTGCAAACCAAAATGATCACTTTGGCCTTGATGTAGATATCTCAAATTTAAGAAATATCATGTTCCGTTCTGTCTAGTTTCATTGTGAATTTGGAAGCATGAATATTTTATTTTGCACAGCAAAAATTTGAACTATGCCATAAATTGGATGACAGCTTGTATCTCTTTTGAAGAGGCTGCAGTGAATAGTATGTAGAACAGTGCTAATACTGTAGCCACTAGCCACATATGGCCAATCAAATTTAACTAAAATTCGTAAAATTTAAAGTGTAGTTTCTTAGTCACACTAGCCATATTTCAAGTATTTAATAGTCACATGTGGCTAGTGACTAGTGTATGAGAAAGCAAGCTATAGAACATTTCTGCTATCTAGCACTTGTCTAAATAGAGATTAAAAACTATGGCTTATGGGACAAATCCTGCTTACTGCCAGTCTTTATAAATAAAGTTTTATTAGAAGACAGCCACACCCTGTCATCTATGTATTGTATTTGGCTGCTTTTGGGCAGCAGCAGCAGAATTTAATAGCAATAGAGACCATCTGGCCCTTAAAGCTGAAAATATTTACTCTCTGGCCCTTTACAGAGAACGTTTGCCAAGCCATGGCATTGTGATTTTGTGGGAAGAGGGTTGCATGGGAATTGAAATGTCCTCTCTCTAGCAGTCGTACTCTGAACAGGGCCAGATAGTTTGCTGACCCCTGTTGTAGAACAAGGTTTAAGTTTATTTTCACAGTGGTTATTCACAACACACGGTTGTCTTGGGTTGGCAATAATACCCGCACTACTAATAAAGTTAGTGTAATTCTGTTGCTGTGTATTAGGTAGAAGGAAATTTGAGAAGCAGGGCAATCTGCTGTGCTATTGCTTGAACCGGGAATGGGGCTTCTTGATGGTTCCTTTCTAGCAAGCAAGAAAGAAAAGTCAGCTCAAAAAAGCTTATTACCTTCCTCTCATTACCTTATGCTGATGAGTGCTGTATCCCCCGGCCTCTTTCCCTTTCCTTATACTCTCCCCTGTATTTTACTCTTCTCAAATTAATGTAGTCCAAATCAGACCTATACATTTTTCATGAAAAAGACAGTGGTAGCATTATGTGGATAGCTTCCATCCCATGTTCAATAATTAAAATGACCCAATAAAGAGACGGTGCTTTGAAGTAGAAAAAATTATTCTGCATGTGCAGAGAAAGTGAGATGATTTTCTAGTTTCCTGCTTTGAAGTTGGGAGTGGGAAAATAATGATTTTATCAGCTGGAAACATCCAAGGCAATTTCTTTTGCCTTTTTTTCTTCTTTTAAAATCTTTGTAAATGGAAATGGAGAATGTTACCTAATGATGTCCATCTCTTAGGGGAAGCAATTGAGGCTGAAATTAGCTCTAATTGTTGGATCATAAGCAAAGGATTTTTGGCAGTAGGGTAAAGTACATTAAAGTGATTTTCCCACTTCTTCGAGAAACAGACAGAACTACGAGTCTCCCTACCTAACATGTGGTGGGTTAGTGGGTGAGTCAGTGAATGAGATATGTTATGTTTTGTCATGCCCTACAGTGAAAGACCTGAGTTTACACTCATATGAAAGATATGGTGCTCATTCTTGGAGGAGGTTATAAGTGATAGGTCCTTCCAATTAGATTCCTGAGTCATTCCTGAAAGCTCTTGCCAAAACAGGAGGGCCATCCCTAGAGTGGGAAGAGCATGTTGGTTTATCTGGAAAATCTGTACCATCAACTGGGTTTTGGCTACTCTTAGAAAAGGGTATAAAGGACAGATGCCACTGGCTTAAAGTTTCATCTGTGCAAGGAAAGCTTTTGCTACCAGGAGATTTGCATTTAGGAGGTAGTGGGATGAAGGGTGGGACGAGGGGTGGGAGGCAAGTTGTCTGGGTTTGTGGCTATGTGGCTTGGCTCCTGGATTGGTTTGTTTTAACTTGTACAAATGCCCAGATGCTTTTTGACATGTGTGCAATAAATCAATGGAATAATAATTACACATACACAGAGATAAACCACATAGCTCTTAACATAACATTTTACTTTTTAAAATAACTTCAAAGGATCCCAAGGCCAAGTTTCTTATTTTGCTACTTCCTTGATGTTTTCTACGTACCAACTTACCCCATCCACCAACACATTAATTCCATGGCAATAGAGATAATCATGAATTGGCTTTTTTAGCATCTTGATTTTTCTGGATTTCAATGAATAATTACCAACATATCCAGAAATTAGGAAGATGAAAGGCCTAGCTATTATTCTATGATCTGAAGTAAAATGTATGAAGAACATAGCATTTGGAGGTGGGAGATGTATGGACATGCCTTTGCCTCCCCATTTCGTAACTGCAGTATGAATAAGACTTAAACCTGTCTGAGCCTCCATGTCTCGATCTATGAAATGTCTGTCACTTTGCCAGCCTGATGCATCTATGTGAAAAGTGTTTTGACTCTAGGAAGGGGTTCTAGTTGTAAATTGTGCTATCATCATTGCTGTTGTTATTATTACTTTTGTATATCAGGGATGTTTGGGGGAATCCTCTACCTCACTTCTTTTCTTATCATGCATTCTGTGCGTTATGCCTCTGTGGGTCTCCTTTGAACTTGTGTGTCTGCATTTACCAAGCCAAGAGTTTTATATTTTAATTGAGTTAGTTTTTTATGTCTTAGAATGATACAGAGAAACGAAGAAAATGTGGAAGTGTCATCTATTTTGTTCTGTCCCCATATTAAGAGACTTCCTTCAGTTTTCTGGCAGGTCCACTTTTCCCCAGCCCAGCGTGATTTCCAAACTGCCCGGCATGGCAACTCTTTTGCATGTTTTCTGGAAGATGTGTTATATGATAGTGGCATATAATGCTTGCTTTTATACTCATTTCTGTTCCAAATAGATCTGGTAAGAGTTCTACTTGTTTAAAAATAAACACTTTAGAACCTATTAACAAATATGTAGGGGTTTGTGTTCATAACGGCAAGGGGCAACATATGTAGGTTAGGTTAGTCACAGCTCCATAGCAAAGGTCCATAACATTTTTGTTTTTATTTTTTAAAGATTTATTTATTTGAGATAGAGAGAGTGAGAGAGTGGGGAGGGTGGGAGGAGCAGAGGGAAAGAATCTCAAGCAGACTCCCCACTGAATGTGGAGCTGATGTGGGGTTTGATCTCATGACCCTGAGATCATGACCTGACCCAAAATCAGGAGTTGGACCTTTAACTGACTCAGCTACTGAAGCGTTCCTTGTTTTTGTTTATAAAATGTAAGCAGTATAAAAGAGAATTCATGCAGTCTATAGGCTCACTCATTAGAAAAATTTACCTTGGCACACATACATTTATAGTCACTTGCAATCATGTATATAATTTTAGGCAGTTTACAGATGCTCTGAAGCATTTCCAAGAATTTGACATTGAAGATCCCTGCCCTGTAGGTTTCATGCATTTTTTCATTCAACACATAATTTTTGCATGACAACTATTGCTGGATATGATACCTGCCTTTATCTAGCCAACACTTCATTGGGTATATGGATATATGATAGAGAACTAACTGATTTATAGTACCATGAATGCTCAGTGATTTCATTATCACTGGTTGACAATAATTCCACATAAAATCTTAATTGGACTTTGTCTTCCTTCTATTGTTTAAAAGCAGATAAGTAAAGGAGGGAAAGAAGATAAAAAGAAATACATGTTTAGTTCCTTTGAAGATAAAGCATGCAAGCTGTATGAAATGTCCATTTATATCTCATAATTGAAGGCTAATGTTGCTAAGGTGATTACTATGATAATGTTAAGATTTTATGTTTTGAATAAAGGTGGTCCTTTTTGAATCCACATTCAAGCAACTTGGCTTTCCTTGAGAAAGGGAATGGTATTTATGGGGTTACAGACACTCTGCTGGATTATTTTACAAGTTACTGCATCTACT